ATGGAATATCAAGTTACAAGTAAATATCTTGCTGACGTTATAAGCCGGCATGAATTATCCTCTAAAAATTCTGATAATGTGGCACAATACCTTAATCAGCTTGGGGATAAAATAGGTAAATCAGGGGAGGCCATCGAAAAAATGTATTCCACCGGTAATTTTGTTCTTAAGGAACTTATGGCAGAGCTGAAATCCATTAATGGAGAAATTTACCAGGAACAAGTTATTACAAGACAGGATGTTATGTATTTTGCTGAACGTTACGAGAAGATTTTAAGAGTAATCACTAAGCTACGAGATGAATTTAGAATAACCAAAAATGAACTTGATGATCTTTATGATTTAAATAATGGGATGCATCATCAATTTGCAAATGGGATAAAAGATGTAGAACTTTTTTTTGACGAGAATAAATTAGAATTGAGGGAACGCTATCGGTATAATATAGAAAAATTAGAACGAAATTTCGGATATTTAAAACAAATAATGAAGAAGATTCCTGACATACGATATCATATTAATAATCTTTTATCTGAATTCGATAAGCATCGATTGGTAGTGATTGGGTGCCACAGTGAATGGGTCAGTTTGAGGAGACGAAAGCTAGTTACTTACGAGGATACCAAGAGATTGGATGAGATGATTCAAAAATTAACAAATGTAATTAGAATCTTTGAAAAGAAAGATCTAGAAAATATTGAAAAACGTATTTACATATAAAGTAATATAAGTGAAGGTAAATACAGTGATAATCATAATTTTAACAATAAAATTACTAACGATACATCATAGTTTATTTGATGAGTGCAAGATTATTTAAAAGCTTATTCTTTAAATTCTTAAAAAAAAAGTAGGGATTCTCTAAGTTCTTGCATAATGGTATTTTGAATAGTTTGAAAGTAGTTTTTGGAAATAGGTTTAATTAATATTTTTTAACTGTAAGTGTGGACATCTGGAATTATCGTCAGAATTGTAGGTGGTAGCATCCTTGGAATTATCGTCAGGGTTGGAATTATCGTCAGAATTGCAGCCGGTATTATCCTTGGAACTATCGTCAGTATTGCGGCTAGTAACATCCTTAGAACTATCGTCATCAGAATTACAGCTAGCATCAGTAGGATTTAAAGTTTCCTTAGCGTCAGGATTATTGTAACTAGAGGTGTTTTTGTTGCTAGTATCAGAGCCATTGTTAACAGTAGAGGGACTATTTTGGTCATTAGATTTAATATTAGTTGCTGCACTATCTCTTTGCGAATCTGTATCATTGGAAGAAGATTCGTCGATTTGCTTTGTCATTTTTTTATGGTTTCGTTTTGTTTTTTTTTTAGTCACTCTGCCCTTTTGTAAATCTGTATTGGAAAGTGATATTTGTCTATTTTTTTTTTTAATAATTTATCAAAAGATTTGAATATTGGTTTCACTGTATGTGACGTGAAAATCTAGAAGTTTTCCGCAGAAATGGTATTCCTATTGTTCCTATTTGTAGTTAAAAGGCAATACGAATTGAGTAAAATCATACGTACGTGCTTGAGTTATATCACCCTTTTTTTCAGTGGTTTGGAGACACTAAACTCAATACATTAAATATATAAAAAAAGGAAATTTATTCTGCACAAATATGGGGTACAACTAAGATGGGGTATAACCGAGTGGGGATATAACCCAGGTACGTACGTACGTACGTACGTACGACGTATTTTATAAATTCAGAAAACCGGCGAATCCGTTCATTACTCCTTAACAGAGGTTAACAGTAAACATGCAAAAAAATATTGAAAATTGTTCGTTAGACGAGCGTTTGAATGCTATTAAATCAGAGCTGAAAGATCCAGATGAGCGCCCTGGGGAAGGTACTATTAGCTTTGCCAACATTATTTCTTCAACTCTTTAATTTATAATGTAAATCATGAAGACTATACAAATTTTCTTTTAAATGAACATTTAAAAGTTATTAAATTAGGCTTTATCATTATCATTACTAGTTTTGCTAAATCTATAACATTTCTCTGATTTTAAATGCTACGAATAAATATATTAATTACATTTTATTTTTTTAACTTCTAATTATTCCTAAAATGGTTTTGTTATCTATAGCCCCCTCAACAATTCGAAAACGTCGACCCGCTTTAAATGGCGAAAATTTAAAAGACAAGGATGACAAAACACCCAAAAAACTAGTTGATAAAAATTTTTTAAAAATATTTGGAACATTAGCAATATGTTTAATTATTTTACTATTTGTCGTTATCAAAGTAAGAATGAATTAACAATTATATAATATTTTAAAAAGTTAAATTCTAAAAATTTAATAATATTTATTAGATGCGATTTCAGCAAGAAATTTCTCAAAATAAAGGTTTTATTTTTGAAAATATCGTAAAATTAGTAGATACTGGATCAGAAGAATTATCATCACTTGAAATTCCAGGTACTGTACATATATTTTAAAATAGAAATAAATTACATAATTTAACTAATTAGCACTTGCGACATTTATATAGAAACAAGTGAAATGAGCAGTTATCGTGTCAACATTCGAGACCTCGGTATTAAAATGGAAAAAAGCGATATTATAGTTAAAAATGGAAAACGAATTTCAGAAGTTCTTTTTGGGTTAGATAAAGAAATTCAAGTAACTGGTGACGAACTTGAAGAATTTCGACATCAAGCGAAAGGCTTTTTATTTTCACTTGCAAGTGAGATGAAAGCAATCACGCAAGAAATTGAAAAATCGCAGTGGTTAGAATATGGTTTTTTCAAATATATTATTAAATCAAATAGCCACTCGTTGTCAGATAGTTCAGTAGACTTTATCTGTAAGCGACTCAGAGTGTTAGAAAAACAGATACCCGGATTTCAGGAACAGCTTAAGAAAGTTATTACCACTATTTATTCAGTCCGTGATAGTGCAGATAATACACATGGGTACTTGATTGATGGAGAACGAGAAGCAGAAAATTTTTTAAAACAATACTGGCTAGGTAATATTGCTGATCATGTAACGCGAAAACGAACAGAGGATGAGCTTTTACGAGTGCGAACTATAATTAAAATGTTGAAAGAAATAGCACCAAATCTTATAAAATTTGAAAGCTTTTTAAAAGAGTACCGTCGTCATATACAAGACGTTGCCAAAGAAGTAAAAAATAGTCCCACAACAGCAGAAGACTTAAAGTATTTGAAACAAGCAGTCATAGATCTCGAAAAACATCATTCACGATTCTCTTTAGCAGCAGAGAAACAATCTAAATCTAAATCTTTGGATGATTTCAATGTTAAATATCTTAACGAAAAGCAAAATCTTGACGAAGAAGAAATAAAATTTTCTTCAGAGGAATATAAGCCCATTGATACTAATGAAGATGCTGAAGAAGTTGACAATAGCATTCTTCATCTTTTGCAAACATTGATTTGGAGCATTATTAATCTTTTGCTAACAATAATTTGGAACATTTTTTATGTTTTGCAAAAATTGATTTGGGGCATTCTTTATGTTTTGCACAAATTGATTTGGTGTTTTCTTTACGTTTTGACAAATTTGATTTTCTATCCTTTGCAAATGTTGACTGGAACACTGAGGCATTCTCATTAAAATATATGGTATAAATCTACTTTATATCGAATTACGAATAATATTATACTGAAGATCGAGTCTAAAAATTGCTAAAACACAAAAAAGAACTTTGAAAGTTTATATACGTTTTATTATTTCTTTTATATATCAGTATCATTTATTGCAATAGAAAGTTGAAACTATTTGTGATTAGAAAATTTTGTTTGTACAAATGTTTATTCATTGCGCTATATAGATATACTAAGAAATTTGATTAAGTATTTGGGTCGAATCCTAGGATATTTTTAACAATTCATCAGCACGAAGATAAAAGCTAATTGTCAAACTTATTGGGGATTTAGAAATAAATTAAAATAATTTAGCTTCGGAACATCGTTGAATAATCTTTATTTTCACAGTAAATGCATAAATAATGAGGATGCTTTGTTTTATTACCTTAAAATATGCACGTACGTACGTACGTACAATACATATCAGATATGTTTGTGTACGTACGTACGTACCTTAATTATTTAACGCCCTCATTGTTGAGTAACCAGTAATGCAAACTATATATGTACGTTGTGAAAGGCTCCATTACCCCTATCAACCCAGTTTCTTTTCTTTTCTTCTTATTTTACCTCTGGTTATT